ACGGGCACAGACAGGGGAGGGGGCGTCTAAGGCCCGTGGTGGGGGGCGAGGGGACCCCCAGAGCTGGGCAGGGCCCCCCTCATAGCTCCCCCCTCCCCCCGCAGAGAGACAAGTTCCCAGCCGACGGAGACCACAACCTGGACTCCCTCCCCACCTTGGCCATGAGCGCAGGCGCGCTGGGAGCCCTGCAGGTAGGAGCCGGGGAGAGGAGAGTATTACTTTAAGTCAATTTTGCCATACAAAATTATAATATGCAAAGGTCTTCTACAGATACATAGGGCTTAAGATTCATCATTGTGACATATAGTTGTCATTTTATGTAGATTGAAAACTCTAAGGAAAGAATTTTGCTTTCTCTTTGTGTTCAGTACGAAGACATATGTGAGGCAGATGCTTATTATTTTCTTTTTTAGTTACTTCATTATTGACAACACACTAATATAGAGATGTAGTTGTTATATGGTGCATCTGAAAGATAGAGAGTACCGTCTAAACTCACTGTACAATATTTACAAAAAGTGTGGTATTTCTCAAAATTAGAAATCAATTTGTAAATAAATTATTTTCTGGGATTGACATTAATGCTCTTTATTCTGATTATCTTAATTGTTTGACTGATTAACAGGTCAATAAAAATTATGCTTTTGATATCTATATGAGGTACATTGAGAGGCAGGCTGCAGCTCCTGGTAGGGCGCCCCCTGCTCCCAGGCCCTCCCCCTGTACCCCCAAAACCCTGGGGGCCCGAGACCCCCGAGGCCCAGACTCCCAAATCCTGCCCCTGAAACAGAGAGTCCGGGAACTCCGGACCCCAAAACCCCCACCCTGAAGCCCTAAGACGGGGGAGACCCCTGGCCTAAGACACTGCATTCCAGACGCCGAGCCCGGGAAACTGAGCCTCCAGCCCCCAGATTCCCAGGTCCCGGGCAAACCCCAGCCCCCATGCAGCTGGGCCCCGAGGTCAGAGACTGTAAGACCCCAGGCCTCGCCCTGGCCGGTGTGGCTCAGTGGATAGAGCGTTGGCCTGCGGACCAAAGGGTCCCGGGTTCGATTCCAGTCCAGGGCACGTACTTTATTTATTTATTTATTAAATATTTTATTGATTTTTTTTTTTTTTACAGAGAGGAAGGGAGAGGGATAGTTAGAAACGTCAATGAGAGAGAAACATCAGTCAGCTGCCTCCTGCACACTCTACTGGGGATATGTGCCCGCAACCCAGGTACATGCTCTTGACCGGAATCGAACCTGGGACCTTTCAGTCCACAGAC